TATCACATGAGTAAAGTGTGTCGTAATGCGATACGAGAAGTGAAGATGCTAACTCGTCGAGTGCGAAAGAAGGCGCGGGATGGAGGGAAATGGGGAAGGAGGAACGAGGAGGGAGATAAAAAGGGGGGAAAAAAATATCGCTAATGCCGCGAGCGTCAGTGGCATATAAATTGCGCCGATGTACGTTGGTACCGGTTTCTGTCTAGGAACACTAAAGCTTTCGCACGTATTTTAGTCGTAAAATGCAAAAGTTGCACGACCGGATCGTTACGAAGACGATTATATCGCGTACGCGCGCCTTCCGATAAACAGTAAACGTATTTATTTGGGGCGAAGGTGAAGCGCGTGGTTTTCATCGACGTGCAGTGGATACGCTTTTTGGCTCGGTAAATCGCAAATCGTGGAAAACAATCGGCGCGACTTGCCGAGTGGCGCCGGAATCCAATCTGGGATATTGCAAATAGTGCCTCTCTCAAAAAGGAGGAAATTTTAATTCACGGCATATCTGTCTATGACAGAGAGTCGTATCGAGTACTGAGCCGGGCACGAACGCTATTATGATATAAATATTGAATTTCGATGTATATCGACAATCTCCGCTTCAACGTGATCCTCGCAGTACCGTCATCTGTACTGAATGTTTTATTACAAGATCGTAACGTCGCAAATTTTGCACTTTTTTTTCTAATAATTAAAACCAATACTCCGAGATAAATCTCGCAATTTTTTATTTTTATAATCTTGTCTTTTTAAATATTTTTATTTTAAAATATTTGATAAAATATCATTTTTTTTATATATATCTTTTCTAAATATTTAAAATTGTCATTTTGATACGAATACAAAATACGAGAAACACGAATGATAACAGCGATAATATTAGATTTTCTGAAAATTTTTCCCGCATGTGTATTTTTTCCAAAGAAAAAAGAAATAAAAAATTCATGTAAAAAAAGCGTAGGTTCCGACGATTACTGCGAATAAATGTTCTCGTCGCGTGGGGAATCCATGATATCAGTAACGACAGGGGAAACGCGCGTTGGCGTATCTTCCGCAGCTACAGAACTGTCTCTCAGGCTGAGTAATAATTTCCGCAATGTTAAATTCGATACGAACTGCACTGCTGCATGCATTTAAAACAATCGTATGCAATTACAAGCCTTTTTGTGGTGACAAATCGATATTGAGAAGTGAAAAAAGCCACCAGAGACACAGTCTCATATCGCTGTCAAGTATAAACCGATAAAACTCAATTAAGGATTTATATGTAAAATAATTAAATAATTAAATAATAACGTGAAATGAAAAAATAAATAATATAAATAATTGTGTGATTAAATTTATGGCGATTTTACTAGCGAAATAGGAGCACATATTCGTCACGCAAATAGAATTTCACCATTTTACATATTTCTAGATATAAATGTTAAAAATTTTTTAAAATGATGGTTGAAATATTTAAATTTTTCACACACTTATAACGATCTCCAAATTTTTGACGAAAGAGAAAATCACTGCTCGATATAAAATATAATAAAAAACAAAGCCATTCAAAAAGTCATTCAAAATAATCGTTTATCCTAATTTTCAAATATATACCTACAAATACAGTAATCTCCCTGTAGCGATATTTGTTTAGCGAGCATTCTCTAAAAGAGAAATAATTGCAAATTACATTCCCCATGGAACGTAGTTAGTTACGGGGCGGAGGGGGAGATTGCGGGCCGATTTGTCGCGTTTGTAGAGATATAAACCGACGTCGAAACAGTTTGACGGACGAGATCGTGTAAAGTTGAAAATACAAAAAAAAAAAAAAAGAAAAAAAACGCGCGACGAAGCACCTGTCAAATCGCATTATCGGGCACGCTCGACACCCGCGCGTCGATGCCATATGCCTCGCATGATCGCGCGGTTACGCGAAATATCGAGGGCGTCGTGTGTATTGTTTTAGCCCTCCTCCCCCTCCCGCTCCCTCTGTCCCGCATCTTCCATACGTGCTTTTTCACACGAGCTCGCGACCGACAGTGATAAGCGGCACTCGGTCAAGCGATCAAGTAATTAATGACAAACAAGGGGAAACGCCTCATCCGCCAGCGGTTTTCCGCTGGAAAAGCTTCGAGACATTCAATTAGGCAACTCGCCAATCGTAATCGAGCGAGAGCGAGTCGAATGTACGATCGTGCCAAGCGATCGATCAAAATTTTTTTGCGACGCGCATACACTCTTGTTCGCTCGCAACCGGGAGAGAGCTGTGACTCGCTGCAGTATGCAAATTATACAAAGGGGGTACACGCAAAGAAGATATTTATCAACATTTTACTTTTTCTGGCATTTCCATCATGCTACAAACAAAATTAATCGTTCAAGACCACCGTGTGCGCGGTCGGTTATATTAAAATTGTATTATTTTCCACACAGGCTTTGCAACGTTCGATTTATACAGCTGTAAAAAAATGTATATATCAGCAAATATTCGTATCGGCGTATATCGAATTAAATATAATAGTTAAAAAAAATGTTTAATTAAAATTGCCTTTGATCCCATATAAATTGTCGTTCTAAAGAGAAGTGTAAATTTCAGGATAAGGAAATTGAATTAAAATTAAAATGCAATTCCTTAATTTCAATTTTGCGATGGATAGATAATTCTTGGAATTTTTATCCAAAATCTCGGAATCTAGAAAATAATTTCATCGGATTACGAACAAAGGAAACTCGTTTGCTCGCTCTGTATAAGCGATACAAATCGATGCCGTTCGAGGGTAACGCTGCCAAATAAAAGGGTTAAACGGATCACGAACGTCGGTCGTATTTTTTCGCGGAGAAACGGAATCTGAAAAAGCGTTTGCGATATACTATTACCACATTGGCGTGGCGCGGTAAAAAAAAAAAATGCACTCTACTCTCGGCCTCCGAGTGGGCAACTAGATTTCGACGGACCGGATGCTTTTTCAATTCCGGAAATACGCCGTGCACGATGCGCAATCGATATCTCGGTGAATCTCCCCGACAATGTGTATAAACGTAACGTCCCTCTTATTTTTCTAACGGTCGATTGGCCGTCAGATGATCCTCGGCACGCGACAATTAAGCATCGGGACGAATACTCGGGCGTGCGTGAAAATCACGAACGTCGTCGACGAGCGATTTTGACGAACCAGCTGCTTTTTCAATGATGGAAATACGCTGCACGCCGAGCGCGATCGATATCAGGCGAGTTCCGCGAACTCCCGACGATGTACGAAACAAGTGGACGCTCAGACGCTCTCCAACTTTATTCCGCGATTAAAAGTATGTGTATTTTCTACTCCAGACAAAAATATCAGACGCTATTTTGTAAGCGACAATAGAAAGATACTTGAAAACTTTGTGCTCCTCGATTAATTTCTCATTTATTTTATTTTCCTTAATTGAATTTTAATGTAGATATTAATTATACATTATATAGATGACGATACGAAATTTGTCACATCAAAATTTTTGACATATTTTTCCAAAATGTATATGTATATTTTCTATTTAGAAAAATATCAGAAATATTATACTTTATAAGCAAAATATAAAAATGCGAAAAACTTTGTATTCCTCGATTAATTTTCCGTGTTATTTTATTTTACTTTTGAATTTCAATTTAGATATTAATTATAAAAAGTAAATGTATATGTTTATAATTAGTATAATTAATATGACGATGCAAATTTGTCGCATAAGATTCTCGACACATTATTTCACAATTAAAAATATATGTAAAAATATATGTATTTTTCTTTCAAGAAAATATATCAGAGAGACTATTTTAAAAACAACAATAGAAAGATACAAAAACTTTGTATGGATTTTCCATTGATTTTATCTCTTGATTGTATTTTAATGTAGATATTAGATATACATATATGACGAAGCAATTTATCGCATCGTTAAAATTCTCGACACATTCCAAAGAATGTATATTTCCTTTTTAGGAAAAAAAAATATCGGAAACACTATTTCATAAGCGACAGCATAAAAATACGACAAACTTTTGTATCCCTCGATTAATTTTCCACCGATTTAATATCCCATGGAATTTAATTTAATTTAGATATTAATTATAAACATATACGTGACGATGTGAAATTTATCGCGTCGCAAGGACGGATTTTCATCGAGGAATCTCATCATTCTTGCGTTATTGCAATTTCTTGCTCGCAAATTTTCGCATTTTGACAAATGTAACACCTGACAGAGAACGCAAAGGTCGCAGGTCATCGCGTCCGTCATCCATCGTCATCTACAATTTTGCAACTAGCAAATCTCACGAGCTAGAGCATCGATGCGACAATTTCCATTTCACGTACGTAAATGTTCTTTCACGCGCGAGCGTTTGACCCCGACCGCAATGAGAAGGTCAAAGATCACTAACCACAACCGTACTACTCCCAAACGAATCTAACCGGCGCCAGTGACCGGCTGTTTAAAGGCCGGTGCTAGTGAATGAATGACGAGCGAACAGTGTGAATATACCTGCGAACCCTCGGTCCTTTTGTCCCTTAAAGAGGGTAATAAACAGAAACATTCGACAACGGTCAAATAGCGAGGGCTGGATGTCAGTATTCTATGACACATTAGTGACATTGTTGGCACGTGGCACTGTATTATTGCATGCAACATCTTAATTCGACACGCTTAAATTACGTCAGATCAATTTCCTTCAACGCGCGCGTAAAAAAAGATCAACTACAAATTACTTCGTACACTTGACATCTCTAGAAACAGACCGAATACGATTGACACAAGTAGTGTACATTTGAAAATTAATTTTTTAATTAACGTAATTAATATTTATTTTCAAATTTATAATTTGAAAACACAAATAACAATAGCCGTAAATATACTTTTATCTAAGAATACATACGATCCGTCATCAGCATTATTTCCAATGGGACATTTCTTAAAAATGACGGACCAACAAAGCCACCGACATTCCTCGATATAAGTAGGATAAATACGTGCACTCTTACCTGTTGCCAGTGATCCTCGAGCGACGGCTGGGCCGAGAAATATCCGGTGTCGTGTATGTCCTGCAGCTCTCGAAATATATTGCCGCTCGGTAGGAGCGTATCCATGGCTACGCGCGACTACGAAGGTCCCTCCGCTTCGGCCTCCTCTCGCAGGTGGACAAGCGGCGGCCGGGCGCCGAGCAGCAAAGAGCAAATCCAATCAAGCAACCAACCAACAAGTGACAAACTGACACGGCGAGCCCCGGCGCGAACGCTCGCAACACGATGATAAATCAACTCGATTCACTCCGCGAACTCCGCGGCTACTCACGACGACGACTCGGCACGCATGTACGCGCGTAAATACAGCAGGTAGCGGCGAGCGCACGTGCGTATCATGAGTGAGAGGTCTTCCCCCTCCCTGGACGATAACGTCTTCGCTTCGACGGCTGTCCCGATCGCGCGAGGAGAGCGAGCCGATTTCCGCACCGGCGTGAAGTCGCGCGCACAACGCGTTTGAAAGATGGCTCCCTCTTTCTCCTCCTCTCTCGCGCGCGCACAGAGTCGAGGAAAAAAGTTGCGCTGTCGTCGATTGTCGTCGTTATTGTCGAGGCTGTACCATCGCCGGGAGAAGCACGCTACCCAGATGAAAATTCACTGCGACGGCGACATGACTCGCGCGGCTCGACGATCTGTCTGCTGACGTCGCGTGCACGCTACGCTTACGACAGTATCCATCACACACGAAGGTAGGTGGAGAAACGCGGGAAAAGCAACGTCAAAATGCCGGCGAGGATCGTCGTCCTTGTTGTCGCGTCCTGGCTCCGTACGATATTTCGCCGAAACAACCCCGTGCATTCACTAACGGGAAACACACACGCGAGACCGTCTCTCCTTCTCTCTCCCTCTATCTGTCGCTTCGACACGTACCGGCTTGTCTCTCTCCGAGAGATGGACGCCGGCCTCCCTCTTCTCCTCTTTCTCCCCCTCTCTCTCTCTCTCTCTCGGGTCACTACGAGATCGCGATAGCACGCACGATCGCTCCGGACTGCACGTCACCGAATCAGAAGAACCACGGGATAACACTTACGAGATTATATTCCGTAAGGGACCGGCGAAACCCCTGATCGTATGCGTACGGACTCCTCTGCACGAGCGCCGAAGAGTAACTGACGATCCTCTCGCCGTAGCCGAGCGCGAGATAATCCGAGCGCGGCCGAAGACGGCCGAGCGCGCCCGATTCGGCGCGACGCGCTACCGCCGTCGGCGGCCGCGCGACGCCGTGGCAGCACCGTTCGATGACGTCGCGACGCTGCGCCGCTCGTGTGTTTTGCGCAGGAAGGAGGACGCTCCGCTGCGAAGTAAAAAAAAACAAAGTTTATTTATACAAGACTCGCGTCCCGCGTACCTATCCCGTAGATCCTCGTAGGAAAGATCGCACACCGACTGATTCTTGAATGTTTAATGGTGAGCGAGAGAAAGAATTGACTCGATATAACCTATGTATGAATATGATCTGTTAGTATAATGTGCGTGCTTCAAGCGGTACAATGTTGTCGGTAAGATCTCAAAATACGCAAATTTCCAATAACATTGATATTTGCGGATAATTCGTGTTTTTTCAATACTAATTGAACCGAATGAGATTTGTATCATATATTGTATCATATATTTGGATGCGTCTTTCGCGATCCAATATTCCAATTATTCTTGTTTTGAAAATATGCATCGTTTTTGCATGGGAAAAATATACACACATACACAAGCACAATTCTCGATACTTGTTATAGATTAATTTAATTTCGATATTTTAAGCAACGTACGATAACAATGTGATGATCTTGAAATAATTTTATTGCGAAGATTAGGTTAAGTTGGCTTATATAAGATAAATTAAAAATATTAAAATATATATAATACGCTAAAAAAATATACTCTATACATTTTTTTCTTTATGATACGATTCTTTAGCGAAAAAAATCAAGAAATTCAGCAATATATTTTATATTTGTTCTTTAATTGCACGATTTCGTAACAATTGCATTAGTCGGACATTATTTCAATTACGGCATTATCGTTATCTTCGCCAACTGATATTACGTTCCGTTTGAATTACGCATGTAGACAATGCGCTTCGGATTCCCATTCAAACAATAATAAAGAAAAGGTCGTCTTTAATTTATGCGTCTGTCTTATTTTTACACCGCGACCATAATCACAACCATTCAGGATTCTAGTTTCACCTTTATGTGCAGATAATTTACAATTAATATATTATACATCACGCACATAAAAACAATTTCAGAAATATTTTATAAAATTTATATTATAATTTTATAATATAAATACATAACATGCGAAAACACACACAGAAAAATATAACTTTGCAAAACTAAAATTTATACCTATCACTTTGTTATTGATTAAATCTTTCTTTAATTAATCTGGATAGTTTAATATTACACAAACGTGTAATATATTAAAGTTATTATTACATAATAAGTGGAAACAATAAAATTTCCATAATTTTAAATTTAAATTTTGTAAAAGATAACCAAATCTTATTATTAATACGAGTGCGTGTAACATTTATTCTGTGTGGTTATCGTTTATTTTATTTATTATTTGCAACACACTTTTTTAATATGATTTTTATTACCGTTTATAGGTTTTTGATGATATACATAAGAGAATGAAACATAAATTATTATTTTTCACGTACAACAACTTTGTAAATCTCTCTTCTAAGCTGATCCTGGCCGAAAAGGTTTGCATAACATTGAGAAACGAGAGAAACAGTGTTCGTTCTATGAATCGACTACGAGAAATGCGCAAGCACGGAGAACACGAACACGCAGAGAATTATTTGCAAATGAATAATCGCTCGTGAGTCAACTAAGAGAACCAAGAGAGAGAAAGAGAGAGAGAGAGAGACGAACGACTTGTGTCGCCGTACATGATTCATGAATTTTGCGCGTTCGTTAAAGCCTTTCTGTAGACGCTAGTACAGCGCAGAGGAATGCCAGATTAGATACGTAAGCAACGTTTATGGCAAATGGAATTAGAAGACTGACCGCGCTTATCAGGCGCCGTACCTTGTTTCCGTTCGAGCTATCGCAAGCGAGCTATCGCTTGTTGGAGGCTGAACGCGCAAGTCGAAAAATATTTTTTTAATCGGTTATTGTACTCGAATTGCTTTGTTTGCGTGCTTGACGTTTCTGTCGCACTACACAATCGTTCTATGAAGTACAATCGAAAGAGTCTCGATCGTAACAATGACTTGGGATCAATAGCGTCGTCTCGATCAATGATATTATTAACGATATTTTTGAAAGTAGCAAATTTTTTATAAAATTTCAAATAAGCTTTTTAATCTCGCGAATCTTAATCGTGTGAGATGGAAATATCGAAATAAATTACACGCGATACTTTTATCATTTTTTTTAAATTTGTAATTAACAGATTGCAATGCATACACACGTACATATCGAACATATATACATTCTAAATTATTTTAAGGAGACGAAGATCCTTTCTCAAACATTTATCTCGAAATTGTTCCATGTCTGGGGGGGGGGAGTACTGCAGATATTATCTGTTAAATTGCGAGCAGAATATATAGCACTGCGTTGGAACCTGACCTCATGTAACCCCTCAACTTCGGCTGCGTTCTCGGATACATTTGCCGTTCAGTAGGTTAAGACGCTTGGCACCATAAACATGCTGGCCGCAGTTGGACTCAAGCCCAACGTTCGAAAAGCTTTCTTGTAACGGGATACAGTAGTACGTCGATTCTTGCTGCGAAACCAGGGATGTTTGTTAGACACAAAATCTTGCTCTCCCTCTCCCTCTCTTTTTCTCTCTTTCTCTCTTCCACACGTGCGAATACGCTGCGCATGTCCCAATAAAATGACTCGACTGGTCATCGGGGCCATTAACATATTAATTCAATTATTCAGTTTAGAACGTTATATTACGTTGATCGATGTTTGTAAACCGTATTGCATTTCTAGCATGAAATGCTACGAGCATACGTAAATAATTGAGCAGAATGAAACGAGTTTCAACCCTTTACTGATCCGAGTTTAGTCGGGAATAAAGCGATATGATAATCCAATACAAAATACCGTGAGCGTGCGGCAAATTGGCGCAAAAAGTTGCTTCTCTTAATATCATTCAATTCCGTTATAAATTCCGCCACTGCAGCAATTTTTATTTAATATCACATAATACTTTACGTGGCGTTATATTAATTGCAAAATTAGCATAATGTATTCTTTATAAGTCCCGATCGTATTTATATTGTTCTGAATAATTAAATAATAATATCGCTGTGAGATATTATTATTTACAGCCTATAATAAATGTCATTTCATAATATTTGCAATTATAAAAAATGCATATTTCGAAAATGATATTTCCAAATGATGATTAAATTTTGGAAAATTCATATTACTGGTCACGATGTTCAATAATATTCGTACAGATACATACAAAATACCTTGTTGAAACTATTTCGCTCAACAAGACTTTTGTGTCGTTGTTGTGTTTTTTCTGTAACGCATAAGTCTCCTCATACTTTTATCATTATCTGCATATTATAAATGAAGGTTACTAATAATAGACGGCCACATCGTCGATATTTAGTGCGCGTTTCTTTTTCAAGTTGCGCCAACAGTTTCGACGATCCGTGCCTAGAGCGCAAGAAAGGAAACGCTAAGAATGACGTAATCTTGGTTGCATAATGCTACGACAAACGTTCGCAGCACATGTGCGCTCGTAGTACCACTATTCGTGTCAACTATTATTCTTCAAACGACCATCGACGCGGCGTCATTGGCCACGCTGCGCATTCGCGCATCCTTGAAGCTGGAATTTATGGCACGAGGCCGTATATAGGCGCTTATGTGGTCTAGGTGTCTAGGGTTTCTTTCGATAATGTCACGTCGACGATTTCGCGAAATAGTAAGCGATATTAACTGAGCGGAGTATATCGAAAGCGCTTGCATTGCGCTCGCATCTCCGTCATTGCCGGAAGTGACGGCGATTATTATTATTAACGGAGAGATCCTTAATCTCGTAATCCTATCGTGCACGCCAGATGATTCCGGTAAGTCGTGCTGAAAATTTGCGCTACAGATTAAACCGACAAGACGCACAGCAAAGACGACGACGACTACGACGTATCTAAGCCTTCGAGAATGATTCTTGATATTTCTTACGATCAAGAGAAAGTATCATGATTACGAAGAAAATATTGAAGATACGATATTAAAAAAATACAAGATTGCAAATTTAAAAGTCATTCATATATCATTTTTAATGTATTATTTAATAATGTTATGTTGTATAGAATCATAAAAATGATTGCAATTTGATAACCCTCATTCACGCTTCGATGCTTGAAACGCTTCAAATATTTCCGATTAATGTTTGCGCCGATCTTATACACTTTAATGGTTCGTGAAACCGGTGTGCACATATTATTACCTCTTATGAAGGAGATCGAAGAGAATGTTCTTAGGAACTTAATTCTTGAGAGAGACCTTTCTGCGCGTAAAGCGTGATGAAAAATGCCGACACGCATAAGGAAACCACTATTATCGTGGCGCCCCCTTATGTCCACGAATTTGGACGCTGTAAGTTTGACAAAGCCATCGATTTAAGGGACCCTCTTTCCTTAGCCGATATCAGAATGGGGCGATTGACTGAGAGCTTTTCCGAACGTACGTGTAAATATTCCCACAAGCGAGGATCTCGACGAAATTAAGGGAGACCACGATACACATTCCATAAGATGATGCATGATATGTATTAACGATAAATTCTAAAATGACAATTTGTATGGATATCGAAAAGATTCTCATTATAAAATCAGTTATTGAAATTGTTATTGATATTCTATTATATATATTTCTTTATTTTGATTGTACTTATTTTGTTAATATTGCTATTTTTATGAAGTGTTGAGTGCTTTTGAAAGAGAGAAATTGCATTAGATATATTCTAAATGTATGAATATATAATTAATATAATATTATTTTATATATGTGATATATCTCTCTTAAAAAAATTGGCTTCTATAATTATATATACGATCATATATAATTATTATAAAATCATATATAAGTATATAATCATATTTAATATTCTACATT